GCTGCCCCACGCCGCGCCGCGCCGGCGCCGGGCGGCAGGATGGGCTGTATCCAAAGCATCACCTGCAAGGCGCGGATCCGGCGCGAGAACATCGTGGGGGGAGGCAGGATGGGCTGTATCCAAAGCATCACCTGCAAGGCGCGGATCCGGCGCGAGAACATCGTGGTGTACGATGTGTGCGCCACCATCGATCAGTGCCCCACGCGCATCGAGGAGACCTCGCCCATCGTCCTGCGCTACAAGACCCCCTACTTCAAAGCCTCGGCCCGCGTGGTCATGCCCCCCATCCCCCGCCACGAGACCTGGGTGGTGGGCTGGATCCAGGCGTGCAACCAGATGGAGTTCTTCAACACCTACAGCGACCTGGGCATGTAAGCAACTGGCCGCGCGGCGCTGGAGCGGGGTCGGGGTCCCGTCTCTGCTCTGCACCCCGAACCCCTACCCGGTACCTTCTTATCGCTGTCCCCATCCTCTTTCTGAACCTTCCTTCCGCCTCCTCACCCACCGCCCTCCTCCCTACGCTTTTGTTTCAGTGACTGGGCGGGTGTAGGGAGGCTCCTCGCGAAGGCTTTTTCTCGTGGTTTGCTATTGACTCCCCAGAAACGCGAGGTTAACGGTGCGGAGCGCGAAGACCGCGACGAGAAGGGTTCCAGGGAGGAGGTGGGGGTGGCTAACGAATGCCCTGGGGGCCTGGGGGCGCCGTCTATGCTGTCTGGGAATCCCCAGGAAGAGTTTGGGGGAACCGTAGAGAGAGGAGTGGAGTGGAGTGGAGTGCCGGGGGCGAATGGGCTGTGCCACGCGTCCTTTGGAGAAACTCGAGCGGGCTTGGCACAGAAGCGGCCGTTGCCCCCTCCACTGAGTTCGAGCCCTTGTCCTCCAGGCCAGGGAGCCCGAAGGCCTTTCCATCTGGAACCGCAAGCCGGGCAGAGACGCCTCTCTGGCTCTGCACCCTTCGGATGTGTCCTGGGGCGGTAGGGACCTGGAAGGCTCCGGACGCGTCCCGGCCGCGCAGAGCTGAGGCTCGAGCGAGCAGTCTCGGGCTGCACGGTACAGGGATGTTTCTTCTGTCCAGAGAGAGAGAGGTCTCTTATCTGCCTAGGGTCTTTACTTTTCAAAACTTTCTTAATTGCGGCGCTGGACGGGATTCCCTGGCGCCCACCGCGCAATCCTGTCGGCGAGCTGGGAGCTCTCCAACTTCTTTCAGCAGCGCGGGTCGGTGCGCGCAGGGCTTGGTGGCTGCAGCGGAGACCCAGGATCGCCTTGGGTGCTTGGCCGCCAGGGGCCGACAGCCTGCCCTGGAACCGCAGGCTGCGGGCTGTTGCGTCCAGGACTTTTTATTTACTAAATTTTCATAACTCCCCGCCTGTCTCCTTTCAGAACTAGACTCTCAACAGTCGGCAGCTATAATGGCTAAAAGGGTTGAGGCTGCCTTTCACCTGCTGTTACAGAGTAGGTCTAGAACACCCTAATTAGTTTGCAGCCTATAGGGAAACCTTTTCTTTTTTTCTGAAAATTCAACCTCATTTCATTTATTAATCTAAAACTCCAGAGCTTCTCCGGTTCACCTATTTAATATGGATATGGGGTGGGGGAGTTCCATTTTAAAAGGTCAAACCATCTTTTTAGCAGCAGTTTGCAGGCTTTTGATTGCACTCTTCTGAGCATGTAAGTTAACACTAGTCACAGGCGCTAAAAGGAATTTTGACAGGTCGTTTTGTTTCCTTTTTCCTCGCAAAGAGTTTGCACTTTTCTCTTGAAGCCTAACAGCTCAGTGCTGGAGAAAGCTCGTTCCTGGTGGAGAAATTCGAAGCCTAGTTTCCAGCATGCCTCTGCACACTGTCCTCCTCCTTCTGGAAGACAGTTAGATGTGAGGATTGGGGGACACATCATTTTGGGTGAATCATGCCACTTAAAAACAGACACTCCCTCCAAAGTGCATATTTTTCTTAAAACTGTTGGGTTTTATTTGTTTGTTTCTGGAGACTCATTATTTCTGGCTAAGTCAGAGAATGCCTTAGCCAGGACAAGGCCTCCCTGTCATGTCATCCCCCTGGCCCCATGCTGATGGCAGTGGGTACCTATCCGAGAGGACAGTAACCACTCTCCTGGCAGCCTAGAGCCCCTGGTGGCAGAGGCCAGGAGGGCCTGGGTAGAAGCACCCTCACTTTTCTTTTCCTGACACTGAACCATAGGGTTCTCTGTTGCCTCAAAACTCTTAGAAATCAGTAAATCAAAAGCAATATATTGGGACCAGCAGTTAGCTTAATGGCTGTGTCGCTGGACTCCCATATAGTCGACTGCAGTTCGAGTCCTGGGCCTGGTGGCTTAAAACTCACGCTGGGCACATGTGTGTGCCCATGATCCTGAGGGGAGAATGGAGGAGAAGGGATTGCGGTGATTTCTCACTTTCTGTCTCTTTGTCTCTGTCTTTCTGGCAAGTGCACATGCCCTATAGCAACCCCCCCCAAAAGAAAAAGCAATATATATATATATATATAAATAGTTCTTTCCATCAAATGTTTGTATTTCGGGAAAAGTCAGGGTATGCTGCAGGCAGATGTGGTAGCTGAACTTCTTTAAGTCTGTAGGAGGGAGTGTCCACATGGAACTGACTTCCAATTTCTTTTTCGGTTTATTTTTTCCCGTGGGAGAGACAGCCCCCAGTAGGATCCCCCACACCATGATCCGCCCCCAGCTGCAGCCAGCTAGGATCCTAGGCACAGCTGTGATTGGCATGTTCAGGGAGACCCCAGCTAGCAGACCCCAGGCCTTCCCACGGGATTCGCATAGCAAAGCATCACATTACCCCTGGGCCACGCTGACTGACCTGGAACCAACCTTAAGGGGCGTGGGTCAATGACACACACTCCCTCACCCTTTCCCACTGAGTTCCTGTATTTGGCATTTGGGGAGAGGTTTTGATTATAAACTGCCACTTTGGGTATTTTAAGATTTGGGGTTTTCATGTGGTGGATACAGAGGAGCAAAAATAGTCCCCCAGAAACCATAAAGCATATTATTATGGATCCGTAGTCTAGAGTCTACCTGCCTCTTCGTGGTTATGGTAATTGCTACGTGTTCAAGGCCGCCTTGCAGCCCAGACTTGATGGAACCGATTTCCATACAATGTTTACCCCCTGAAAACTTGGCCAATGTAAACTCTTTAGTGAGAAGTCGTATTGCATGGAAGTCGCTGCAGTCTATCGGTTGTTATGTCTGCTCAAGTCAATGCCTGAGAGAGAAAAGAAAAAGAAAAACACCGCAGGCTAGATTTTCACCCTGGGCAATATTCTGGCACACAGAGCCGTGATCCAGTGAAAGGGTTTGGGCTAGGAAGTTGCCTTTTCAATATTTTAAAAAGGACTGTGCCAGAGTAAATCCACAGCTCAAAGTGGCAAGAAAGCTCTCTTGACAGGGTTCAAGGGGAAAATGATTTTGTGGTTTAAATGGGAAGCGGGTTTCTAAAGGAGCATTTGGAATGGTTAAGGCCATGGTGACCGGAGCTTTGATGCAACTTGAACTCAAGTGCTTTTGCCCTTGCTCAAATGATTCTTTAGAAACCAACCTGGTCAATATTTGGGGCACCTGTCTATTTCTCATTTGACCCTGGCAGAGCTTGCTGTGCAGTCTTGACTAGACTGCTGCGGGTCTTCATTCTTCTGGAAGGAAGGGTTCCTAGCTTTTCCCAATCCCATCACTAAACAAATGTTTACCAAGTGCCTCGGTGTATGAGACCAGCAAAGGAAACAAGACAACAAAACACAGGAGGATGCAACAGCCTCTGTGCTCCACGGTGTAGGAGGCGTGGCCACACACAGGGAAAACCACTCCCCTGCAGGGTAGGGGGAGCCTCTGAGAAGATGGGGCAGAGGGGCTTTCTGCAGGTGACAGGACTGGAGCTGGGCTCTGGGGCATAGCCTGCATTTGGCTAGGCGAGGAGGAGGGGCTGATTTCAAAGGGGAAGCAGCAGGTGCAGAGAGGTAGGAAACACAAGTCTGAAGGGGGCATGAATGGGGTGTCCATGAGGGAGCTGCAAGAGGGGTGCTCTAGAGGCAGGCTGAGTCTATTGGGAAGGGCTCAGGATAACAATGTGGAAAAGAGCAGGCGAAGCATACACACGGTGTCAGGAGGGTGGTCAGGCCTCGTTCCCGGGAGCTTCCAGTAGAGATGGAAGACCTTTGTGCTGGGACGGGCTTGAGTGCTGGAGCATAACACCCAAGGGGTTTCCTGAGGTTTGCATCAGGAAGGGTTCCTGGAATGAAATGAAGCTGAGGGCAGGGAGAGCCGCCCTCAGCTATAGGCCCTTCCCACTCTCCCTGAGAGCTCCATCCAGGGCTGGTGGGATGGATGCCTCCCTGCTGCCACTTTAGAGAACTTTCGCCAGGGTGAGACTTCAGGAGGTCACACTCACTGTGCAGGAGACAGCTGCTGCTGGCCTCCCCGCCCTTCCTTCCAAGCCAGGGTGAGGTTACCGAGGACCTGACTCTCTGTCCCACCTCTGTGGCCCATCCACGTCCGACCACACTGGTTTCTGTTCATCTGGAAATGGCCCTGGCTGAGCTTGTCTGTGGTTGCCGCATTGCCAAATCCAGCAAGCAGGTTTGAGAGACACTCACCCTTGCAGTCGCCTTCCCGGCTGACAGCTTCCTCTGTTCTGAATCACTTCCGTTTGGCTCCCATGCTCTTTCCAGCTGTTCGTTTGTGTCTACTAACCTACAGATAAAGTTCCTCATGACGTTGTCCTCAGTCTGTGCTCACTCTGGGCGCTTCTGTCCACCCCCAGGGCAGGAGATGCTCAGGGAGGGCTCCAGTCTAGGTGTGTGTCTGTGCAGTTCCCACTGGGCTGTCAGAGACGCAGCTCAGGCATCAGGCCTGCACACCTGATCTCTGAAGCCTGCACCCCCGCTGTTCTCCTGTCTCAGGAATAGCACCTCTGTCTCCAAGTGGCTCAAGCTGGAACATCTCCATCACCCCACATACCTCCCACGGCCAGTCCATCATCACCCCGTACTGACCCCATCTCCAAGACAGCTGTAATCCAGCCACCCATCCCAGAGCCACTGCCACCATCTTAGAACATGTCACCATCCACTGTCACCAGCTCCTGCAGAGACTTCCAACTCAAGTTGCCACACCTGTTCCCTACCCCCCACCCTACCGCCCCCCCGTCTCTTTCCCACATAACAACCAGTAATGTTTTTAAAATGTTGATATTTTAAAAATGGACCAGCAGATGGCATACTGGCTAAGGCATTAGACTCCCACCTGGCCAACCGTGGTTCAAGTCCTGGGCCTGGAGCTTGAGGCTCATGCCAGGTGCATGTGTGTGTGTGCCCAAGAATCCCAGGAGGAGAATGGAGGAATGGAGGAGGTGGGATTGTGGCG